CATATTTCTGGAGCAAACAATGTAGTCGCAGACGCCTTGTCTCGAATTAGCTCCTTGAACAGTTTCCAAGGAATCGACCTTCTTAAACTCGCTCAGCTTCAAAAAGAAGACATTGATCTTCAGCATGAGTTATCCTCGACAACTCTTAAACTAAGTATTAGGCAGATGGGAACAGGTAAGGAAACCTTACTCTGTGACACATCTACAGGTAGGGATCGTCCGATTGTACCAAAACACTATCGCCGCAACGTCTTCAATACGTTGCACAATCTTTCTCATCCAGGTGCTCGTGCAACAATCGAACTTATAGCCGAACGCTTTTGTTGGCCTGGCATGAATAAAGACGTGAGGGAGTGGTCACGCTCCTGTGTAAGCTGTCAGAAATCTAAGGTAATCAGACACAACAAATGTCCCTTAGGTTCTTTCAAAACCCCTGACGCTCGATTCGACCACGTCCATCTAGATTTGGTAGGACCCTTACCCGACTCGAACGGATACTCATATCTCCTAACATGCGTAGACCGTTTTACTCGATGGCCAGAAGCATTACCGATTAAGGACATTACTGCTGAAACAGTGGCTCGCACTTTCGTCGAACGATGGGTAGCAAATTTCGGCTGCCCTTCAACCATCACTACAGACCGCGGACGCCAGTTCGAATCTGGACTTTTCCGTTGTCTGACCACACTTTTAGGAATCACGCGCTTCCGAACGACCGCCTACCACCCACAAGCAAACGGGTTGGTAGAACGTTTTCATCGACAATTAAAAGCTTCATTATCAGCTTCAAACGTTTCACAGTGGACAGACGCTCTTCCACTCGTCTTGCTAGGTATCCGCAATGCAGTGAAAGCTGACATTGGATACACGGCATCTCAACTCGTTTACGGAACGACACTCCGACTCCCAGGAGAATTCGTGGATCCTTCAGCTTCTTCATTGAACATGGATCTAAACTCTTACACGAGTAGGCTTACAAACGCTATGCGTTCAGTTAAACCTGCTCACACTCGACCTCAATCAACTGATGTTTTCGTTCAACCCGAACTACGACATAGTACACACGTCTTCGTTCGTCGAGACTCACATCGACGACCCCTCGAATCAGCATACGAAGGACCCTTCAAAGTTCTTCAACGCGAACCTAAGTACTATGTAGTCGACAAGAACGGTACGAAAGATAGCATCAGTATCGATCGACTCAAAGCTGCGTACCTAGAAGGAAACCCTAGCTACGTCGATTTTCCTTCGGTGCAAGCAAACGACACAGCTACTACACTCGTAGTACCCTACACGACAACCGACACACAACTTGATACTTCGTCAACGTTGATAGAAAAACCTAAAACAACGCGTTCTGGAAGACGAGTAAGATTTCCAGAACATCTTAACGAATATTGCACGTAGGACATAAGCTTTATCTTGAATTACCCTTTCATTGTTTATTATAAATTTTTTTTTAATATGCTCATTTTTTTTTTTATTTATAAAAAAAAAACAAAACAAAAAAAACAAAACATTTTTATTATTATTTTTTTTGAGCGTATATATATATATTTATATATTGAAAAAAAAAACCAAAAGAAAACCTTTTTTCCGATCGCTTTTACGCTGTTTGTAAGTGTATCAGTTTATTTTTTTCCCGCTCATCTTGTGTCCTTACGCAAGTACGAGTGTATTTTTGACATGCACTCACACGTTTTATTTTTCCTCTTTTCCAGGACGGCTGGAAAAGAACGACGAAGTTTCGCAAGGAACAGAAATTTTCATTGTACTATATTTCTTTATTGCTACGTTGTACATTTTGGTCCCATAGTTTAAGGAAAGACGACCAGACGCTGCTAAACGAAGCAAGCTATCAGAAGAGTGTTTACCAACGACAAATTCGTTGGGTTTAAACTTCTGGCTGGTCACGTCTTAGGGGCATCACTACCTCACTAGGGGGGGAGTGATCTGTAGCTGTAAATAATTCCCCAAAATCAATAGCTCATTAAGTGTTCGACATTGGATGCTGACCACGTTGTTTAAGTGGACTTGTTTAGCTGAAGGCTTTCGGTCATGCATCCGCACCAGATCACGTTTCAATACTGCGTGGGACACAGCTCCTACGTTTCATTAGCCAGCTCATAGAAAAGGTCCTCGATATATTGGTAACGAATCAAATATATCTTTCCTGCCTCTTCTCGTTTGACTTCTGATTTTCTATCTGACTGGTAACAACCGAATTTAGAAGGTGCTACTGGTATCTAGTTGTAAAACTAGAATATCCGTTGCATCATCAGTTCAATACAACCTTCCTTCGAGGCACTGACAAACTTCACGAATTCAATATAATTTTCAACAACAGGTTCCAAGTTTCACAAAATCTACTGAAAGAAGAAGGAACTTCGATGGACGACATGACTCAGAGACTAGCAAGGAAATATAATGAACCAGAGAGACCAGTCAAGAACAAAGAAGACAAGACGATCACCGAGATTCAAGAACAAAGAAACAGATAGGTGAAGTACTTCGACGAACTCTTGAATAGACCAGCTCCATTGAATCCACCAGACATCGAGGCGACACACTTAGATGTCACTCCACCAACGACGGAAAGAATCGGGATGGTTATCAGGCAAATCAAGAGCCAGAAGGCGGCAGGACCTGACAATATGCGAGCTGAAACACTGAAGTCACACATTTAAGTAACTGCAGGCATGTTTCATACCTTATTCAGGAAGATATGGGAGGAAGAACAAGTCCTGACAGACTGGAAAGAAAGACAACTCAACTAAAGAAAGATTTGAGCAAATGTGAAAACTATAGAGGAATCGCACAACTATTGATACCGAGAAAAGTTTTCAACAGAGTGTTGCTGAACCGGATGGGAGATTCAGTAGACGTCTAAATTCTAGATCAATAGGTCGGCCGTGCACAGGCCAAATCGCAACACTACTGATCATTGTTGAACAATTAGTTAAGTGGAACCCGTTCCTATAAATCACTTTCATTGACTAGGAGAAAGTATTTGACAATGTGGATAGTAGTACTTCGTGGTGTGCCTGGGAACACTGTCAACATCATCCTGAATTCATTCCACCGACTGAAGTGCAAAGTGTTCCAGGGAGGACGGATGACAGATTCATTTCAAGTCTTTACGTTCCCACACGCATGGAAGAAATGTACCGTCGATGGTATATTGGTAAATGTCACCGTGCCCGATGTGCATGAGCACACTGCTTATAGAACTAATTCCTTGGCCCAAACATTGGGACCATATAAACTATTCGCCTAGGTCAGCTTGCAAATCAAAATGATCAGCCTCACTTTTTATTGTTCACCGGATTTTTAAATCACCCTAAACAATTATGTCCATGACTAATGCAGTCGCGGTTATTGACTGGCGCTAAGACGGAAAGATAAGAGACTGAAGACTGTGTCGTGGAGAACGGTACTTTTGACCGGCTTCCATCCAGGTGGTGTCCCACTTACCCTCACTCTTGGTCTTTTGCCACATAAAAAGTTTCTTCCTCATTCCTGTACAACACCTGTTATACCGAAGCTCGAGAGCTTCGGCATAATACCGAGGCCAGCAAACTTGACAGATACTTTGCGAAAGTCTGTCACATCGACAGACTATCAAGCGATCCTCTCCTGCAGTAAGTTGGTCGAGCATGAATGCTTGTTTCGAAGCCCGTGTTGTTCGGGAGCTAATGGATCACATAGTTGTGTGGGGATTATCTATGGAATTATCTTTTCAAGTGACTGAACTATGACACTGGTTAGACAGACAGGTCAGTAGTTTTATACGATGTCTCTGATTATCTTTAAACGTAGGACTGACTATATCATATTTTTAATCCCTAGGTGGTTGAGTGTGGAAAAAGGACATGTTGAAGTGCACCGCGATTGGCCTTGCAATTATATCCACAGGAAATGACAGCATCCGTGTATGTAACTCCTCAGAGCGCTTTATTTTATTAGGTTTGAGGTTAATGGCCAATCAAAGAACGGTTTCCTGAGTCACACGTACAGGTCCTATAGCTGGTATCTGAGTGGTATGATTATGACAGGTATTGTTGCCTATACTCGTGAAGTAGACTCCGCTGAAATAGATTGATAAAGTATCAACATTGATGAGATCAGACTCAATGAGTATATCTGGATTTTCGTGCAATAGTGATAGAGAATTACCGTCACTACGCTTTGTTCTTCGTTTGACGAAAAAAACAACTTTTTGAGCAAGTGTGGCCATCATATGCCAACTGCCTTTCGTAAATAGCATGAAATCTAGCTATGGTCCCTTAACATACATTCCGGACTTCGCAGTATCTACACAGAGGTGATTCGTTTCCTGCTGACAAGAATAAGTCCCAGAAGTGTTCCCTACACTTTAACAGCTTTCGGCTTTCCTTGGTAGTTCATGTAAAGCAACATGATAGCTTATATGTTGACCATTGGTCATGTGGTGATGTTGCGGACTCGAATAAGGCTTCAAATTTATTTCATTCGACTTCGGTCTACCCATCTGTATTGGTCGGCCAGTTTGTGGGACAACACAGTCTCTGATTACTGAAATGTTAGCTAGCCAGATACTGAGACGGAGTTAAGCTGATACGTACTGTATACTATGTATTCAAAACCTAAAGTAAAGACCTCTTTATGAGTCGTCCTTCCTCCGTTGGCCCATGTAAGTCAACCAACTCTGAGATTAGTTGAGGTAACTTCATATCGATTTGCCTATCGACCGAACGAGGACTGTTTGATTTGTTTCGATTTAACTTGCTAACACTATTAAAATGGCTTCCGATAGCAATATTTCTGAGTCCGAGCAACACTTCTGACACAAGCACACGCAACTATTTTCGCCAGACCGATCGATTACGTATTCTGAAGAATCGAAATCATCTCTATAATATTTCTCAACCAGTGACTTCCTCCTCAAACTAAGATGTACATTCCAAATAACTTGTGATCTTTTTTACTATATCCAAGTCAACAAGTTTTAATATTCCTAAATCGAAACCGATTTGGGCGCATAGTCAAACAGATTATTTGTTTGTGCGATATGCTTGTGTGCAACTACAGAAAATGTAGACAACCCTTGAAAATCTGTGCCGTTGGCACTGCATGCAAGCACATCTTCTGCATTACTCACAGTCCTCTTCAACTTAAAACTTCTGACGGGACGTTTCAGTGCCCAGCCTGCAAATACAGACTTAAAGAAAATTCTGATATAATCGAAGTAAGATTTACCCAGAAACTATCAATATGCATCAGGTTGACCTACAGCCCTGCGAACAGTTTAGAAGCATGATTCTAATGGGTCAAACACCGGACACAATTTTCGATGTGTGTCGTAGAGCCATTGAATTCTTCACCTTACAAACTGCTCAGGGTGTTAAATATTTGGAGTACATTAATTACAAACTGGAAGAAAGGTATAAAAACATGGAGATTCAATGCAAGTCATTGTTGAGCAATCTTGAACAGAAAATTAACAAACTACAAAATGAAAAGGATGCTGTATGGTCTTTTTACTAATATTTTATACCCTATTTAGATAGAAAAGGAATGTGAAGAACTAAGAGACAAACTTGTTGCATCAACTCATAAGTTGTCACAACTGGAAGGAGATATTAGCAGGTTAAATCTGTCTAAACGATCTGATTCGGACCGAACTTGTTTTTCTGATCATATACATATTAGGTCAGTACAATCAACTCAGTCTTCAGATACTCTAAATCCAAAGTTTCCTAGATGCTCACCTGACTCGGCATTCCCAAGCCCTTTTGGTTTGGGTAATCGTCAATCACACTTTAATTTCTCTAAGCGGCCTGAGATTAGTTCATCTAACTTGTTTTTAGCACAAGCTTCATGTAAATCACCGACTAAAATGCTACTTCCTAATCCTTTTCTAAACAACAGCCTTCGAAATCTTTCAAAAATCTCCAGTAAACCACTTTACAAGTAAAAATTCACACTGGTTTTGTTCTGAAATGTTTATAAATAAACTTAACTATATTTATAAACCAACTGAATATTTTTTCGATTCAAAATGAGGATGACGGGTTTTAGTTGTAAAACTAGAATATCCGTCGTATCTTCATGACGTCTTTTTAAAGCAATTTTGTATTTGATGAACCATTCTTTTGATTTACTTGCAAATACTGAGTCATTTAAGCTGTTTGATGTTGTTGGTTTGAAGTAACTCCCAAAACTTAGAGGCAATTTTTCGGATTTAAATAAAAGAGAACATTTACGTGTCATTATTAAACGATTAGAACTTAAATAAATCAAATAAATGATGATGGGACTAACATGATTCCTTGTTAATGAGACCTGAGGGGTAAGTTGTTGGCTAGATCAAAGGGCGACTGCGATCGTTCTTAAAACTTAAGATATCATCAAGGAATTACCTATACGATTTATAAAGGTCATATCACACACAAACAATTGTTTCTAGACTGATCTTTTGGACAAAAATTGAATTAGCTTCATCTTTCCAGCAAATATTTCCTTAGTTGATCCAGGTTAACAAACAACCAATCTGGAGTGTTGACGAAACGAAAACAGAGCTTTGAGCATATAGTCCCAGCATTTTAGAATTCACCCAAAATGAAGATAAAAATCTTGAAAAGTTTATAGAATGAATATGATGCAGAGTTGTGCATACGGTAACAAATAATCTGAGAAAGGTCTACACTACTGGTGAGTAGTATAAATTTTACATCAAACGAATGATGAACATTTCAAATCATTGCGTCTCTTACGAGAATCACTGGGCAAAACCGCTCAAAAACTAAATTTTCTGCAGATAATTTCTTAATCCCTTTATACTACTCAAGGTTTATCAGCTGTACAGACCTGGATCTCAAAAGTGACATGCATTTTAATGTCTTCGAATGTATGTAAATGATTTTTCAGATAACTATTTACCTTCCTTACAATGCACATGTGTATTTATTTGTGAAAACATCTCGATTTTTGAATATCTCTCCTCTTTTGGATTAATCTTTTCTGTTTTCATGCAATACTAACTTGTGATTCTGAATAAAGAGGCTCGAAATAAACATTGATTACCTTATATTTATTCCAAAGTATCTAAAAATCAGCATAATCTTGTCAGTCGATGATATTATGTAGGTAAATGTAATATGTATCTGGTGTTCAAATAAATCTAAATGTAAAATTTTCTTTATGAAATTACTGAAGTGAAATGTGTATTCATTTAAATAATAGATTGATGAATGTTCTTAATTTTTATAAGTATTGTGGTAACAAGGAATTTAATAAATTCAAAATACTTTATTCTGAAATTTCGATTCTCCTTAAGGTAAATGCTAACCAAATCCGATACATGCACTTGTATATTCACAATTGATTGACCACATAGTACTGGCCCTTGTCATGTTCGTTTAGTTTTCAAATGTTCATTGGATTCTGCTGATCAGGTGGGACCTTGTACGCTAGTTTGTGTGGCTTGATATAGCATGCACTATGTTAATAAGTTAGGTCGTTTAGAGCTAGCTGACAGGAAAATCAGATCCCATAACACTAAACTACCCAACGTAATTTTATAAAGTGCGGAATCTAAAACAAATAACTGAAGAAATGCAGATCACTGTATTGGTAAGACGAATAAGATTTCGATTCAGCAGGTGAACGAGTGATTTTCACAAGCTAATTTGTATGTACACAAACTGTTGCAAATTGTATAACAAATAAAACAGAATTCCCAAGCGTTTAGTTAATCTACAACTAATGCCAATACGAATTTAACATTTATAACCTTAACGACATTATAAAACATGATTCAGTAAGAGTAAGTCAAACTCAGTCATCATCTTTATTACACTATATCTGGATCACTAATATTATGTGGATTAAAAATATACGTTCTGCTCAAATTTTTGTCCGTTTGCATTGTGTTAATATCTAATGACGTTTATCGTCTTGAAGTCACTCATGATAATATGGTTAAGTATCTCAATGCTTCGAATACAATTTAACTACACACTGCCAGGTGACCAAATATCTCGACCACTATGTTTTCATAAAAAATGACTGAGAGCAATAAGTGAGAAGCCCAGAATATAAGTTTTATACTGTTTGGCACTCGTCACTATGATTTATCTGCGATTTTGAACAAGGTCCTAAATCTTATGAGATTCGATTTAAAAAATTTAGTAAGTAAATGTAAAATTAACCTATGAAACAAAAAATTTCAGTATCCCTTTAGTCTTTCATTATATTTGCCTTTATTAGCTGCAGTCTAGATGAAACACAAGTTAATAGACTGAAATAAAGGACCAGTCTGTCAAATTAGGTTTAATTGTTTTACTCAAGACACCCATTTGTAGTTGTAAGAGATATTAGATCTTGATTAAGAGGGCATTCCGATTAAACGAAATAACTAGTTTGTTCTTACTTACTTTTCTACGCTCGTTACCTATAGCGGAGAAGCATGGGCCACCCACTAGGATTCCACATTCAACCATGTCCTATGCAATCCTTTACAATTTCTTCTAGTTGCTACTCATTCTTTTCATGTTTGCTTCCAAGCCTTGTGGTATTGCGATTTGGCCTGTGCACGACCGACCTATTGATCTAGAATTTAGACGTCTACTGAATCTCCCATCCGGTTCAGCAACACTCTGTTGAAAACTTTTCTCGGTATCAATAGTTGTGCGATTCCTCTATAGTTTTCACATTTGCTCAAATCTTTCTTTAGTTGAGTTGTCTTTCTTTCCAGTCTGTCGGGACTTGTTCTTCCTCCCATATCTTCCTGAATAAGGTATGAAACATGCCTGCAGTTACTTAAATGTGTGACTTCAGTGTTTCAGCTCGCATATTGTCAGGTCCTGCCGCCTTCTGGCTCTTGATTTGCCTGATAACCATCCCGATTCTTTCCGTCGTTGGTGGAGTGACATCTAAGTGTGTCGCCTCGATGTCTGGTGGATTCAATGGAGCTGGTCTATTCAAGAGTTCGTCGAAGTACTTCACCTATCTGTTTCTTTGTTCTTGAATCTCGGTGATCGTCTTGTCTTCTTTGTTCTTGACTGGTCTCTCTGGTTCATTATATTTCCTTGCTAGTCTCTGAGTCATGTCGTCCATCGAAGTTCCTTCTTCTTTCAGTAGATTTTGTGAAACTTGGAACCTGTTGTTGAAAATTATATTGAATTCGTGAAGTTTGTCAGTGCCTCGAAGGAAGGTTGTATTGAACCTTTGTACTTCTGTTTCTCCAGTTGTCTAGTGTTTCTTTAGCTTCAGTTTCACTTTGGCCACAATCAAGTGGTCATCTGAAGTTACGCCAGCTCCTCTACTGATTCTCTTGTCTTCCATTGTTCTTCTGGACTTTTTATTGACACAAATATGATCTATCTGGTTTTCTGTGGTGGGATCCGGTGAGATCCATATTACTTTGTGTATGCGTTTGTGTAGGAATATTGTGCCATCTTCTCTTTGCTTCATCCATCTCATTCTCAGTCTAGATCAATGTGTGTACGAAATTTACGTATTCTTGATTCGTTCTTCTATTTCGCCTATTTCATTCCGTCATACACTAACGCTGGTTAGGTCGTCGATTTTTATACGACGATTGACGTCATGCATGTTTCGATAACATTTAGTCATACGATTCAATTTGAGTCGGATCTTTGATCACTATAATATCTTCACATGCGGTATTTTCAATTCCGACCTCGGAGTTTAAGTCTCCCATCAGGACGATCACTTTCTTTCTTAGCACTTCGCCCTGATCGATTGCAGCCTACCTTTAAACTGATATTTATTGCCATTGTTGCTATCATTGGTAGATGCATAACACTGGGCAAAATTCATCGTGATCCCCTTCTTCTCTGTTTTGAATGATGCTTTGATTATCCTGGATGCATGAGATTTCCATCCTACGAGTGCATCACGTGCTTCTTTTGACAGCATCATAGCAACTCCCCTAGTGCGTGGAGCACTTTCCTCTACATGACCGGAGTACAACAGCATCTCTCCCATATCTACCCTTTGTTGTTTTGTTTGTGTCCAATTAGATTCGTTTATTACGAGTACTACCAAGCTGTATCTCCTCATTTCCATTGCTATTTGTCTGATGCTCCTGATTTCCCACATTGTCCTTATGTTCCACGTGCCTGTATCAATTGTTGCCGTGGTTGTTAGAAATGGGCATCGGCCTCGTGACTTCTGAAGAATTTCGGCTTTCATCACGAGGCGTCATAAATCTTCCTTCAACTGTCAGGACAGAGTTTAAGTGGTTTAATTTTTTTATTCCGTTTGGCGTGTCTTTGGCAATGTTGTTTTCTACGGGATAGGTTCGCGCCCGACCCTCCTTTTTTTGGGTTTAGAACTCACAGTAACTCTAGAAGAGCTACAGGTTATGTTGATTACCAGGCGAACAATTTCAAAGAAATCAACTACTGAACTGAATTAAGCCTAGTGGTTAGCTTGAGGATATGACAAAGGATTAATTCACGAAAAAATAACTAATATTTCAGATAAGTCAAGTCAACATGTAAACAGTCGTTCACTCTTGTTTAGAAAATCAATTCTGTTTGTAGCGTGCGCATAATTTACTGATATGTAATCGATATTTTGAAATAAAACTCATTTGTTACTGCGTAGGGGCAATAGGACGAGAACATGAGTGTGTAGACAACTTTATCCAAATGGAGATACATTCAAAATAGAAACTGCTTCTATCCAGACAAAAAAATTTAATCATATTCATAAGTAACTCATAAGATTACAAATCTAAAAAAATCTAAAGAACTGATGCTGTAAAAGCAAGGACTTTCATTCTAGTGACCACTTAAAACCATCGAATTCTGAACACTATTTCACACTTCCGACATCCCTAAATATTAAATCAAAGACTTTTAAATTTTATAGCCAATGTACTATCTTCAAACCAAGTAGTGTTAACATTGATCAGTTTACATTTAGCACTAAAATCTACGGTGTAAACTATCTTTAAGTCCATCAGTCACCATAAACTTAGTCGTATAGTAATAAAATAATTTATTAAATTTCTACAGCAGATATCAAGTAAGTGCAAAGGTGATAATTGTACAAATCCTATTTACTACAATCTTGATCAGTAGTTACATTCGAGTTTTTCACAAATAGAGAAAACAACTGACTATAGCCAGACGGGAATCAGAATTTTAGCCAATTTCTATCAAGTATAATAAATAATGTGTATTTGGTGTTTATACGTTATGTAAGTGACCAGAGTATCAAAACAGTTTTGTGTATTAAAAAACTGTTGTGATTCATGCTAATTCCACCTTGAGAATATAAAAGTTTATCACTACACTAATGCTACTTTTGATAGTAGTATTAAATATCTTATAGTCAAAAAACGGTTGATAAAATCAGAATTTCTCAACTTGATAAACGTTGTCATAACTACATATCTTTTCAAACTAATGAATTTCTTTTGATAAACTTATATTCTATTTAAGAAAGAATTCTTTTAAAGTTAAGAAAAGATGAATAAGAGATATTTTGAATTCACTTAATATCGTTTGTTTGAATCTTTCCATTAATGCTTGAGTCTATAACTGGTCAGTCTGTTATTGGTTCAAGTCCCAGAGTGAACATCAACTCTGAGATGCATGTACATCCAGCTGACCAGTCCCAAATACGACAAAACACACGTCCTGTATTCCACTGCTAGCCACTATCCATTTATTGCTTATAAATTACCATATTGTTCATATTAAACTAGAATTAATATTTAATTTATAAATATCAGTGAATTTGTAGACTAGAAAAATCTTCCTTTTAGAATAAAATTGATAAGACTTTATTATATTTAGTCTAGATAATCATTAATATAATGTTTATTAAAATTACCACATGATGAATACTAGGTTTAAACATAATAAAGAGTGATTGTATTAGTTTAATAGTTAACAACTATATTGTCAAGTACATTATGAAATATGTTTAATGGATTTCATTTTATTAATGTACAACAATTCAATTAAATGAGATTTAATGTTTAGATTTTAATATGGTATCGCTATATATATATATTTTTTTCTAACATGAAATAGATTAATATCAGAAGGAGTTTTGTGGATATTATAGTAATTTCAATAGTTGAGATCATAAGTCAATTGAAGCTAGACCACCATGGAAAACCTGGAAACACTGGACGGCCGTTTCATCTTATTGTGAGACTCTTCAACCCAGGACCTATCTCCCTCGCGCACGAGCGCTTAACCTCTAGATCGTTCAGGGCTTTCAAGTTTTCCATGGTGGTCTAGTTTCAATCGACCCATGATCTTAACTAATGAAATAAAATAGGTTGTTTATAATTTGAGGTTAGAAGTGTTAATTAAACTAGAATAATTATACAATATGTGCTCAGATGATGATCAAATGCATGCTGTTCTATATTAATCATAGAAGTTCATCAATCGAGAATTTCAGTAAATAATTTAGGCTATATGACTTAAATGACATAATTATTAAGATTGTTGATGTACACATTTTGATGATAGTTATCATTTAAAAAACTGAAGTTAGTTACAGATTTATTGACACCCATTAAGTCACGATCATATCATCGGCTATATTTAATAGATAAATGGTAAATTTAGTTTACTATTATATACACAATTTGCACATAATCAGATAATCCCAATAGATGTACAAGCTTATTTATCCTTATTTTCTTTTATTTTCCTAAAATTTTAGCTTCAAGTAAATTGATATTAAGTGGTTAAAATTAATTTGCTTGAAGTCGAAAATTTTAGATTCCGTATAGGTTCTATCTGTAATTTAAAATAAACTGAAGTTTCTTTTCGAAATCCAAACTCTTGGCGTTTGGAATGAATTAGTTTCAAGGTTTAGTACAGTAGTTCTCTAACAGATTCTTTAGTGAAATAGTTTAAACTAAACTGAAAGACAGCTCCAGCCACATTTTAGAAAATAATGATTGTACAGTATATTGTTTTGATCATTTCCAAAAGTAATTACACTCGTAATTCATATTTTCATTCTCACCGACATGCAGAGGGAATGTTCTTGAATAAGGTGTTTTGTCGTAACAACTTGTTAAGATGCTTTTATATCACCCTCATCCACACCTGAGTTTGTAAACGTTCAAATCTGTTAAGCCCTTTAGCTTGTTCAGTAGGCCGTATCATTTATGTCGGTAACAATTTGCCTGTATCTTCACTCTATTGTTCACATGCACCTGTGATTATATATCTGCTTGATTATGTGTTACATCCTATCCATGTATTTCTCGTACTAGCTTCACTGTTGGTTACTTAAATCACTCGATGACTTATACGCTTACTTATGTACGTGTATATCGTAAATCCTATTCATTTAGTTGCTCACATCATTCGCCTTCTTTCTCACTCTCATTTTGTTTGTATTCACTTCGTATTCGTGGTGACCTTATGATCTGTGCTATACAATAATAAACTGTAATCATCACGTCTTGTTGTCTTCTGAAATTTATACGCCATTGGTAGTTATCCAATAACGGTCACCAGGACGGACGATGTATAAAACGGAAATTATCTCAAAGAAATACCACTTTGCTCTCCATTAGTGAATAATCAAACAGTTAGAGAATTGTGAATAAAACAATGGTTTAATACATACACTAATTCAATAGTTTGCTGAATTTTGTTGCTATCAATAAAAAACAGAAGACTGAATCCACAGTCTTAAACCCTGCTGGTTAATAATAATGTGACTACAAAACAGAAGATATAAGTTCAACAATAAATCATAACTAAAATTTCGAGTTAATTTATTGAAACAGCTTATAATCTATAGAATGATGACACGTACATCTTATGTTATGATCTAAATCATGCAACAATAATACAAAGAATGAATGATGATTTGCTTTAATAAGGTTTACACAAATTTACTATGATTGTTGAGGAGTCCAACAGTAGGACAAAACGGCCGTCCAGTGCTTCCAGGTTTTCTATGGTGGACAAGCTTCAATTGACTCATGATTTCAACTATGAAAATACTGAAATCTCCACGAAAACCCCTTCTGATTTATTAAAGACTTACGAATAATGTACTATGAGCTTAAATTTTATAATATTTACAAAAACTAAAATATAAAATTGGAACAATTTATAAACTCGATCATATACTTTTCTTTGTATTGGTAATTTCTCAAGGAATAGTAAAGCAAAATTTGTCTTAGCCTTAAGTCAGTTTTATGGCCGACTATTCGGTAAGAAAATAAAGTGAAACAAATTGACCAATTTATTCAGTACAACGCATCATGTAATTTTTGTTTTCAGAGACCATCTATCGTATCCATAATTTAGACAAGGGCAATATAACGGTTAGATCCATAGTTACTAAGATTTATAGTCATCCGATTGACTTTTTAGAAAGCTAGTATGAATAGTATTTGTAGTAATTAATATAAAAAAGTTACCTACCATAGTAATAATCCAAACCATGCATATCACATTGCTTGGAACTGTTACGATCCATGTGTTAGGAGCAAAAACGTTTAAGATAGTAGTTGTACGTCCTTAAATTATGGATTAAGTGATTATAAGTGAGTAATCGCTTTTCATTGCCATGTGACCCGGTTACAATGTGTTGAAGATAAAAAAAATTCGCTGTGTCTTGTTGAACTCCTAACGTCGATAGTTGATGAAGGGCTTGAAAATCATTTTGGTTCTAAATAAAATCCAGAGATTAATTTCAAACTGAACAGTATCTCAGTAATAAAAATGTGATTTTTTCACAAAGCCATCTCGAAACCACATGTAGTCGGTTTTAAAACATGATTGCCCTATATACTCGTATTGATCATATATCTATTAAATTGATGTATTCATTGTATTCTGTTTATTAGTCACCTCATCCTATTAGTACTGAATAATATTTAATGTGCATTGTTACCTTCCATTTAACGTTTTGTAATTTATACGCTTGAATAAAAACAAACAAACTATATATTCATGATATTTACTTTCCTCGCCACTTATTTTGCATCCATAAAGTATGTATTCCGATGAATTTATTCTTTTTATAATATTGGTTAAAAATGACATGAAAAACAATTTTATAGTTGAAACCATGAGTCGATTGAAGTTAGACCACTATGGAAAACCTGGAAGCACTGGACAGCCGTTTCGTTCTATTGTGAGACTCCTCAACAGTGCGCATCCACGATCTCACCTCATGAGACTCTAAACCGGGAACTATCTCTCTCAAACGCGAACGCTTAACCTCTAGAACCACTAAGCTAGTTGGCATTCGATGGTATTAATGTCTAACTTCAACCAATCCACAAAAATTGAGCAACTGTCCATTATTGTTTTCAGTTAATTACTGTCTCATAACAAACCCGGTTGAACTTCACTAGTCATTGCTTCTCACTAGAACTCCAGGAAATAACTCTTGAAGCCAGTTCTACCAGATTTTTCATGATAGTCTAGCTTCAATTGACTCACGCTTTCAACTATGAAAATATTGAAATCTCCACAAAAACTCTTTCTGATTATTAAAACCATAAAGAATATTAACATTAGAAATATACATTTATTATTATCATATACATTCAGATTTTTTACAGATTACATAACTATATATATATATATATTGTCTTTTTTTGTTTGTTTGCTTTTTTTAAATAAAAATCAATATAATGAAAAATAAAAAAATTGTAGAATAAACATTGAAATTGTTTGTTTTTTTTATAAATAAGTTTTTCGTTTTCTTTTTTTCTCAATTTTTAATTTGATCATAATTTTATTATTTTTTTTAAAATAAAATAAAATATGGAAGACAATAATAATTTTTTAAAAAAAAATTATTCTATACAAATTATAAAGAGTTTTGATTAGTTGTATATTGTATTAAATTTTCTTTTAATAGTAATAATTCTTTACGATGATTATCAACTAATGATGTCTAATTGAAATATAAAAAGAAAAAGAAATGTAATAATGTAAATATTTTTGTAAAGTTATAGACAAAATTAACAACGTTTACTTGAACTTAAAACATAGACATTAGAAAAAAAAAAGATTTTATGATTGTCTAGTAACCATTAAGGTCACTTGTTCATGAAGTAAACATGAAAGATGTTGTCCAAAAAATAGTAATGAAAGCTTCGATAGACAATTATCTAGCTCAGAGAGCTCAGTAATAACCAAAGTCTAATTTCAACCAATCCACGAAGTTTAAGAAATCGTCCTGGGTTCGAATCTTGCTAGGTGGTAACGTGGATGCTAAGGAGTCCCATAATAGAATTAAACGGCCGTCCAGTGCTTCTAGGTTTTCAGTGGTGGTCTAACATCAATTGACTCACGCTTTCAACATTGAAAGTAGAAAATTTTATTTTTCCAATTAAAATTTGTGGATTTATTATTTCTGAAGATCATGGAGGTCGCGTGTAAGCCTGAAGACCTTGAGTTCGATCTTCAGCGATGGGGTCATATGTGAGCACTGCCGAGGAGTTTCATACCAGTAGGAAACCGCTGTTCAGAGCCTCCGTGTTCTCAATGGTTATTTAACTTAGATCAGTCCGTGAATTGGACTTCATATAAGGGATTTTTTAACCATTTTGATTATGATGGATTCACATATTATGGTATGTATTTAGACGTTCAGTAGGTGTTTAGGAATCGGGTTCATTTTGTTACATGCCTTCAAATGTCCTGGTACGGCCGAGAGTACGGAGAGTCAGCTCTCCCTCTCCAAATGCTCTCACATGGCCACGCGTATATAGCCTCTGTCAGGGAAGTCCTACTCACTGCCTTCTCGTACCACGGGTGTTGTTTACGAAATCGAGAGGACGAAAAGCGAATGTCCGGCGCTTTAAACGGGTTGGTGAACACAGAATGTCCACCTAAAGGAGTTGGAAAACGCTGATTTCAAACCAATGGTGCATATGGGCTGGCTCCAGTATCTTGAGCGAACAAATGGTGTGTAAACCAATTATTGGTCACCGGCTACCATGGAAATGCATCTTCTCACGATGCTCCCCTGCCTTGTATATCAGACCTTTAGGTTAAAGGCTCCGGGTATGGCCTCCTAATAAAACCACCTGCTGTGGTTTGGGCACCTGGGCAAGATCACAGCCCTCAAACAAATCGAATAAGATCTGTGTGGCACACATGTATTTGGTTCTCCTTTGTACCAATATTTATGTGTTGAAATAAATAATAAATAAATTTTCGTCACATTCTTGTTACTTCTTTGATCAAAAACAATTAATCAAGCAAAGAAATTTAATTCATCACGGACTGATTAATAGCTTTTAATTTTTTACAGATAACAAGATACATTATAAAACACTTAATTTTTAATGAGATGAGTCATGAAATTGTTCTCTACTATTTCGTTTATTCAGGAAAGTTTACATTTGCAAAGCTGTAACATGATTGTAGCTTTTTAACATATGAAGAATTCTCAACACTCCATCTAATCCATCTAATTCTGTCAACATCCACGCAAATCATAACATACCACGGGAACGTAACTAAAAGGCTTCTAAGGTTAGGAAATACATGTTCCAAGAAGCCAAGCCAACGTAAATCATCACCTTTTATAATATATTTATTTGGTATCCTAAGTAAAATTTTAGTATAACTCAGTCAACCTTCTCTAACTATGATGATGTTTAACATGATGTGAAAACGCTAGAAAAATGAAAGTTCAAAGTTGACAACCGAAACCTTAAAAAAGATTAATATTTATAATTGAACAACTTACCAAAATATTATCCCATCTTTCTGTAAATTGTTCCACAGTATCCATTAATGTTATCAAGTATCTTCAATAGAAGTAAACAATAAAAATTACAAATAAATATATCAAGTATTCTCACAATAACAACGTGAAACACTAAGATTAACAAAAAACAAGCAGAATGTAATACTGAACAATCAAGAACAAATGTACTTTTCTTTTGTTTCGAACGTAAATATTTAGCAAAGAATAAAGTCATATTGAACAGAATCTTTCTGGAAAAGAAAAGAATTTGAATATGTTTCTGATCGTCCCAACCCAAGAAACAAAAATATGATTTTGAATATATTGGCTATTAAAATTTTTAAAAAAAAACGGATAAAAAGGATCGAAATAGTTGACGGTAATAAATGTGATATATATAAAATAAATATCGACATTCCATGAGGAACAACAATCTTTTCAGCTTATGATTCAAAGACACATAACTTCCTCCTTTTTGTCTTCTTCACAGTTTTGTGATAAGAGAAGGGATAAGAGAATATTAAAACATTGGTAAACTACTTGTAATTTAATATATGGAAATTAACCGTTGTTTTGAATTTTTTTATATTATAGAGTTAAAGGCTTATTACGATTGATTAACTTATGGTTGCTTCACATCTTAGACTGACACCAGATATGGAAACATTTCAACGTAAGGAACATTGATGAAATACTTTTTCTCAGTATATGGATCTTGAGTAGATTGATAGCTACTAATGAATATACAATGTATATCAAGATAAAACTAAATTCACCTAGTATAGCTTGTTTGAATCTTCGCATTGATATTCAGGACTGTAATAGATCAGTCTCTTATTGGCTTATGTGCATACTATGCGTATCGTCTCGATATAGCCTTAATTCACATGCATTATAAGCAAAGATGGATAGAAGTGGAAGCCAGGACGTGTGTTCTTTCCTATTTGGGACTCGTCAACATTATGTGGCTGCATCTCAGACTTGGTGTTCACTCTGGAACTCAAATCTATTACCGTTCTCTTCAAACGCCATCGCGTTATCCACCTAGCCACTTGGTTTTGAAATGGGTTGACGTTTAAATTCACTTAATATTGTTTGTTTTGAATCTTTCCAGTGATGTTCAAGTTTGAAATTGATCATTCACACATTGTCACGATACTGGTTTTGATTCCCAGAATGAACATCAACTCTAAGATCCAAATATACCCAGCTGATTAGTCCCAAATAGGACGAAACACACGTCCTTGATTCCACTGCTAGCCACAATCCGTCTTTGCTTAAGATAAAACTAGCCTAGAAGGTTGTAAGAAAAAACTGTAGATGTTTTATTTTATCCGAAAGCTTAATAATGTTTCTATATGGCATTATAGCTCAAAATGAATTCATGTGAACAGTGATTCAAATTTTTCAATTATTGATTGAAGTTTGAGTACCGTGACCACTATAACACAGTTGACTGATTTAGTTAAAAGAATATTCTATTGTTAGTTGACAATTTGCATCAAAATTTTGTTTATTCACATTGTTATAAGATCTATATTTTGATTTATTTCCTGCTTCAAAGAACAAATTTTGTTATTCAGATACAGTTTGATAGCTTATATCAATAAATAAGAATATTAGTAATTGCGACTATTTTATTATCAGAAGGGGATTTGTGGAGATTTCAGTATATTTCAAAGTTGAAATCATGAGTCAAATGAAGCTAAACCACCATCGAAAACCTGGAAGCACTGGACGGCCGTTTCGTCCTATTGTGGGACTCCTCAGCAGTGCGCACCCACGATCCCGCACTCGCGAGATTCGAAACCAGGACCTACCAGTTACGAGCCAGAGCCCTTAAACGATAGACCACTGAGCTAGTCGGGATCCAATGATGTTAATGTCTAACTTCAACTGATCCACCAATTATGAGCGATACTTCACCAGTTGCCTTCAGTGAGTTGTTATCTCACAACAGACGTGGTTGAACTCTACTCATAATTCGTGGATCAGTTGAAGTTAGACATTAACACCGTTGGATGCCGACTAGCTCAGTGGTCTATCGGTTAAGGGCTCTGCCTCGAGAGTGGTAGGTCCTGGGTTCGAATCTCGCGAGTGCGGGATCGTGGGTGAGCACTGCTGAGGAGTCCCATAATAGGACGAAACGGCCGTCCAGTGCTTCCAGGTTTTCGATGGTGGTCTAGCTTCAATTGACTCATGATTTCAACTTTGAACTATTTTATTAGTTTTTCATTCTTATCAAGCTTACAAATGTAATGAACTGAGATTGTTTTTCTTTTTTTTAACATTTAACTTACTGTTTATCAGAATTGTTCATATATTTTTCACTTGATTGAACATTATAGCTTGTTAACCGCCGATATGGTGAAACTTTATCTAAACAAACTGGACTTGTAGAAAATCGTGATAATTCTCTACTAGCTGAACATCCTATTGTATTTCCTAAAGGTAATAAATGTGAATTTGTTTGTAGTATCGGAGAGAATTTACTCGAAAAATTAGAACTACAAGATGGTGATTTTTTTCCTTGTAAAATACCTGATCGTCGATGACGTGATTCATATAAACGTTTAGCTGCATGTTTTCGGATAACAAACTAAAAAGAAAAAAAATATTTTGATAAGTTTGAATGATAGTTTAAATATGACAAGTAATATTCTTAAAAAAACAATGATTATCTAATATACAGTGGTTAAAGATTGTCAGCATTAAACTGTGTATCTATTTTCCAATCCATTTAAATTCATATGATCTAGAAAAAATTGACTGATTACAAGCTTTATATTGATTAATAATTTTTATTCAGGTGTAATATTACCGACTTGTTTGAAATTTGATTGATCTCTTAGATGTCTTGATAACTTACAGGAACTAAGTATTCATTAAATCTGGATATCATTGTTTGATTCTTACGTGTAAGCAGTAACAAAACAAGAGAGTGTAACGTGCCTCCTAGGTTGTTTGGTTTTTGATAGGTCATAGATTTTTCTATGGTCAAATTTTCTTTATCATTGTAAACTATATTATAATAAGAAATCCATGTTTCCAACTATGTACTAGATGTTTTTTTATAAACGAACACTAAATACTTTCATTGAATAAAAATTGCATTGTAAAATAAATTGGCTTGATATTTAAATCAATCGCTCAGTTTGGGACGTAGATAATAGTGCATATTGTTGATTTCCAGGTTGAAATAATATATAAGTTTAGTAAAGTTTAACTTCCAGTGATTTGTCATCTCATCTTAATTTGTGGTAAAGCTAATTTTTTAAATAAAGCACTTTTACCTATTTTTTGAAGACAACGATTATCATTATCAGAAGGGGTTTTGTGGAGATTTTAGTAATTTTATAGAGTTATGATCATGAGTTAGTTGAAGCTAGATAACCAAAAAAAACCTGGAAGCACTGGACGCACGTTTTGTCCTATTGTGGGACTCGTCAGCAGTGCACACCCACGATCCCATCTCATGAGATTCGAACCCAGGACCTACCAGTCTCGAGCCAGAACACTTAACCGATAGACGACTGAGCTAGTCCGCATCCAACGGTGTTAATGTTTAACTTCAACCAATTCACGAAATGAAGCAACCATTCACCAATGTCCTGGGTTTGAATTTCAATTCTATATCATTTCACTATGTTACGTTTCATTTCTGGAAGTGTCACTAACAGTTTAGTTGAAAGCTAAGCTAAATAGCTAATCAATACACTCCAGTCTTCAGTAGTCTTGAATTTATAAATACGACTATCTTGAAAATACTTTCTACATTTCAATAATCTATTATTAAAAAAATCCTTAAAGCACTTGAATCATAATACTTAAAATGTAACATGCTACTCTTATCTTAATTTTTTTAAGAATGTACAGACTAAATCTTTAAAGAGAAAAATACCATAATTAATAAGTGAGATTCTTCTGATTAGAATAAGAATGGAAATAAATGATAATTATTAATGTCACGTAACAACTGTTACATAAAACTAACTCTATACTTTAAATGATATATCCAACAAAAACAAACTATGTAGAGATACCTTCTTCGAACTCATTTCAGTAGTATATATCATTAATTATATCCAGTAGACTGTATGTAAAAAAAGATTTTGGCTTTGTGTGTATATTACCATTGTAGGTGTATATTGTATTATGTATCAATACTGTTAGTTATTATTTGATAGAAGTTTTAGGAATATCGGCATAGTGCATTTCAACTATACGTGCAGTTTAAAGGATACAAATATTCCTTAGTTTTTATGTGTATAAGTGGTTCGTTTAATAGCATGAAACGTAGAAATTATATTCTTGTCTAAATCTATAATATGTACCTGTTAAAAAATGGTGTTAAACTTTAATAACTATTTATTCATACTTCACTTAGTATTGTTTGTTTAAATCTTTCAATTGATGTTTAGGACTGTAATTGATCAGTCTCTTATTGGCATATCTGCATACTGTGCGTATTCGCCTCGATATAGCCTTAATTCGAGCCCCAGAGTGAACATAAACTCTGAGATGCAGGTACATCCAGTCGACGAGTCCTAAATAGGACGAAACGCGTGTCCAGGATTCCACTGCTAGCCACTATCTATCTTTCGAGTAAGTAATGCAGTTGTTAGGAAACGGGTACTAGGTACTGATGGCAAATCGATTGATGAAATAGTGAAACTTCATCAGTTGATATGGCTAGGACACGTGTTATGTATGCCCAACCACCGACTGCCCCGACGTGCAATGGTTCATGGTGTAGGAGTAGGTTGGAAGAAAGCTAGGGGTGGCCAGACCAAAACGTGGCATAAATACATGAAGTCGCTAACAATTGGACTGAGCCATGTTAGTAGGTGTAGATTGGGATTCGCAAGATGATAGCGATCGATGGTTAGAGACGTTGAATGACATGGCTCAAAATCATTTGCAATGACGAAGGTGTATCCACACTTTGTGTTCTACCAAATTCTAATCTTCTGAATTCTTCATGTCTCTAACTTTTTTGTATTTCTAAATTTATTTCACTGGATTATACTTGTGGAATTACATCTTCAAACCTTAATCTTTCCCATTAATGCTTATACTCTTACTACTTCAACTACTATAGGATTTGAATCGACAACTGCATCACTGTGCTAATGTAGTATGGCAACTCGAAATCATGTACGTACGAAGTTTTACATTGTGACTGACTGACTGACTGACTGACTGACTGACTGACTGACTGACTGACTGACTGACTATCCATCTTTGCTTATAATGCTTATTTATTCATACATTGTATAATTTATAAGTCTGTAATTGCATTTTCTTTTTTAATTAAATTTATCAAACCAAGATTTTTTTCATTTACAAGGAATTTATTTATTTAAACATAAGTCATGTACTAAAATTCATTTAATATATTATAACTTTTTTCTAGTGGCCTAATTATGTTTAGTTCTGGTTAGATACTTTACTTTAATAGACAACATCGTGTACAAACTGATTATAGAAGCAGAATTGGTAATCAATTACATTGTTAATGAAATATCTACTCCAATTCTAAGCACATTCAATGTTCATAATGTCTTCATAGAATTACATAAACTTGGATTTATAAAACAGACCTTACAGATGGATTTCTGAAGGAAAATGATCATAATTAAGGTGAATCTGAGTGAAACAATTTACGTCCAAAATGTAGTTTACATATGTACTAATCATTATTATTTATTAAATGAATCCATATGATACTTCAATTGACTATCATGTATATTTTGTTATTGGAAAACTCATTTAAGATATAAACTAAACCAAATTAGAAAACAGTTTTATTTGTGAGTTCCATTAAGTGTTAAAGAAAAGCCATTTGATTCATGAATGGCCAAATAAGAAAAATTACTGACTATTCATATCCTATAATCATATTTACCAGAAGTTCCTTCAATAGCTTGAAGAGTGGTTCTTGTGGAAACTACAAGTATATGTGATATTTTCTAGTTATTCAGTTATTTTTCACTTGATTAGATTAAGGTAGATTCAGAAGATAAATAGAATATTGATCAAGTTTCATAATTATGAAAATATACTTATTAACCATAGCAATTCTATTTTAGTAGTATTTTCATGAGTACTTGTTCACAGTAATGTTAAACGACTTGATATAAGTATTTCTAAACTGGACCACCATGAAAAACCTGTTAGCACTGAACGGCAGTGCTAAGGAGTCTAATAATAGGATGAAACGATCATCCAGTGCTTCCAGGTTTTCTATGATGGTCTAGCTTCAATTGACTCATGATTTCAACTATGAAGATACTGAAATCTACACCAAAACCCCTTCTGATCCATTTCTAAACTATCAGTGAAGTTATTTTGTCAAAACGGACCAATAAATTAAATGATGAATAGTTCTATTGTTTATGATAATAAATGAAGAATAATGAAGTCGACTGTACTAAATGCTCGATATGTTTTTACACCGTTTCAGTAATTAAGATAAACTAACTTTTATACTTCGATACAGATTTTATAAAATAAATGTGGCGCCAGTTTAATTTCTTATCATTGGAAACTGAAATCAATTGATTTAAAGATATTTGTAGCCAACATGAAGTAACGTTTGATCGGTAAAATGTAAAGTATTTGTGGAGATGGGTGTAATTAAAAAAATTTAAAAATTTCCATATTATGAATCCCAATAACAAACATAAACGAAAAATATTGTTTTTCTGGCTTTATGCTGATATGCAGTAATATTTATATAGATAGATGAAATCATTAAACTAATCAAGACAGTTTATGAGTCAGTGATAATAGTGGAATGGATTACATAAACAAACACAATAAGTAGAAGGTACAAGTCAGTAGTTTGAAGACAGGTGTACCAGTTGTGATAAGAATAATAAAGGCTTTGATCAATGTTTTACAATGAGAAATAGGTCAATGGCCTGGAAAAAAATGTAGACAGTTGAACAACATTAAAAGATTATGTAATAAGAACAATTCACATAATTGGGCAAAGAAACGCATATTTGAGAAAGAAAAAATAGAGGTGGAGAAAAACAGACGAACAAAGAGTATGAAAAATAATAATGGGTAAAATCGTTCATTAAGGCTGATTCTGCCAAGGATCAGATAAAGGTATTACAAATCTAGTATAAATACAAACACTTGCATTTTTAGCTCGAATCCCTTTAGCTTCTGCTATATTTAAGAGATAAATTAGAACCCCATAAGGGAAAATAGTCAGAAAACCATAAATCACTTCAGTTTTCTATCTATTACATCAAGTGCTATTGATCAGAGATAGGTATTGCTTTATCAATACCCCTTCCTAACCACGAAGACAGGTATTCACTAACTTGGCTCAGTTATCCGGTTGTGCGTCCGCTATAGCTCTCTCCACAGAAGCAACTGAATTTATATTTTTACATAGATGTCAGTAAGTGGTTGTGGAAATCGTGAAGCGATCACTTCTAGATGACCACTGGAGACCTAGGACCACCAGACAGCCGTTTTGTTCTTGTATGGGACTCCTCAATAGTGCGCATCCATGAACCCACTCACAGTACTCCAACCCAGGACCTTCGGTCTCACGCGAATGCTCAACCTCCAGACCACTGAACTGGGATCCTTTGGTGCTAATATCTAACCTCAACCAATCCACATGGATTTGGCATAGTAATTTCGTATATGCATATAAATATTATTTTAAAACTAGTATGCAATTTAGAATAAATTTTCTACGAAATTTCTGTAATATATTTTTATTTTAACGTCTGGTACGTCTTACAAGGAGACAAATAGTCGTTTATTAATCGACGTGACTCGATATGAATGTGTCGGGTACAGTATAGATGACTAAACTTGTCATGATCAGTAAGTTTCTATAATCGATATGGTATCCATTTAAAGGAGCATTAGCGAAGGGCTGAGTGGAAACAGACACTATCAAAAATGACTATATTATTAAACAAATATCATTAATCCATTATTTGTTAACCATTTGGATAACATTCTTGTATTCGACATAATTTATTTTTGAGATTAAATGGAAACAATGTACAAATGAGGTGTGAAATCGTATTGTTTATTCGAATACATATCGATATATATCTAATTCGCAATTATATGACAATCAAGTTACGTGATATATATCTAGGAATACAAGAATTTCAAATGTGGACTTAGGTAGATGATTCAGATGAATGATTGAGTGAATAATTAATCATTTTCCTGGTTAGGCAGGATTGAATGTGAATAGCTTGAATAGTGACTATCAAAATTAAACACTCAACGATAACATGGAATGATGATAACAATATATGTTAAATGTTTGTTTAATTTTATAAACAAGCAAACGAAAGTCAACGATTTCATTGGAAGAAGACTCTTTAGCTATGATTAGAGTGTATAAAGTAACGATGTGTTTCAAAAGTTCCTTTGGTATTGTTTATTTGAATCTTCCCATTGATGTTCAGTATTGCAATTGGTCAGTCTCTTATTGGCATCTGTGCATACTATGCATATTACCTCGATATAGCCTTAATTCACAAGTATTATAAGCAAAGATTGATAGTGGCTAGAAGTCGAATACTGTACGCACGTTTAGTCCTATTCGGGAGTTGTCAACTGGATGTAGCCGCATCTTAGATTTGATGTTCAATCTGAAAAATACATCCTAGTATCTATCTGAAATCAGGATATCAATGGTTGTTTTAGTCGGTTGAAATGGAAGGTATAGTGTTCGATTCTTGGTGAAAACATCAGTACTAAAATATAGGTACATCCAGACGACAAGTCCCAAAAGAACGAAACACATATCCTAGGTTCTACTGCTATCCACTATCCAAAATTACTGAAAAACGCGTTTAAATATCGAAGAATCACCAGTTTAAAATATATTCAATCGGTAAAAGATTCAGAAATTGCAATAATGAATTATTTCAATCATTTTTATATGACAAGCCAAGAGTAACAATACTGATCAATCCATTTTCAATGACTTAAAATCACTTAAAAATTACTATTATTGAAAACGTCTTGATAGCAAATGATAATTGTAATGATACAAATAATCTGGCGAAACGGCCAGTATTACCTCAGCTTCTGGATGATCTTTCAATGCTTTTAATATATCATCACGTGCTAGAACAAATAATTCAGCATATCCAACAGCACGTACATCAGCAGTTCGTCTAAAACGATAAAGAAAGGAACTAAACTGTAATCATAAGAGTTTATATTGGTCGTGTGAAAGCTGAATGTCATGACTTCTATATCAATTAAGATCTTGAGTACAAACTATTAAAAGGTTCAGAGAATAATAATTTTTAATGTTACAAGTTACCAGGTTGTCCTCCAGCTAGTGTTTATAGTAAGTAATACAGTTGGCAAGGATTAGAGGTAGTTGATATTCAGTCACCAAAGCATTTGTTCGAAACCCTCAATCTAACTAATTCATTTTGGATAGTCCTACAGTATTTTACTCTGTCACAACAAACCTACATTACAAGGCAAAGTACACAGATAACTAAATTACAAGTAATAAGCGAATTGAAAATTTTACCGTAAATGAAGATTTTCTAAAATAATTTCCTTTGGTTGTTCATGTAAATGGTAATAAATGGTATAAAGAAAATATTGATACGTATATATGTATCGTCTATTTGAGTCTATGTAAGAAATATTCAAACTCCACCTGTAGCTCCTCCGGGGGCTACTGCTGGTCCCAAGCCCGGGTAAAAGGGGAGGGTTGGGTATGGAGTTAGCGACCCAATCCCGTAGAAAACCAACTCACTAGAAAAACGCTAACCAGAAAAAAAGGTAAAGCAAGTAAGAGACATTCATCTAAGTATGAGTTGAATATTCCCACTTTCTTACTTTAAAAGTAGATAGAAACTCTGATCAACCTTTTGGTCTTAGCTTATTTTATCAATCAAGATATGTTGCTTGACAGATGTGCTCCGAATTATCACTGATTTAAATGTGTAACTTAGCTTATGAACATCTTGTAGTCAGATATTATAGATGAAAGAAAAGTTAGTTTTACTTAGAAATAACTTTTAGCAGACACTAACATCAACTACCATAAAAATGCTAATTGTGAAAAGTAAAAATCATCATAATAAATACTTTGGTATACATATAGTATCAAAGTATGAACCAGCAATTGTAGTAATGGACTTCGTGGAAAGTTATTTGTCTAAGTTCAATAGGCAGCATAATTATATTTGTGATAAAATGAGCACTACTTATATCGTTTCGTAAACATTCATTATTATTCTTATAAGAACATTGCCATAAAGATGTGAACAAGTATCTAGTGTTAAAAACATTTTGGTAAATTTTGTATAATAGATGGATTATGACTTGTTGGGAGCTTTAAGACAAGCGCTTTATCCCATTCAAAAACAAGTCAGATGTTTGCACTTGTATTTTAAAGTTGATGTAGTTACTGTGGCTCGGGTCCAGTGTTTTTCTCTTTGAGTTCCAAAACGTTATTCATAAGCTACTGAGTCCAGATAGCCACTGACATGTTTAACGGCTGATGTCTCACCTATCGTGATAGAAAACTGTTATTTAAATTATATAACGGTGCTATTAAATTACAAAGTTTAGGACTGACGCATATAACATTCGAATTAAATACTGTAACATTTTATTTTCTAAGTAGGAAATTAGAGCGAGACATCAAAAAAATGAACAGCACTTGGGGAAACTGGAAAAAACAGCTCAGGATAAAGTTCTTTAGAGAATCCTAATCGGGAGCTTACGCTCCACAATAGGTAACAAGTGTATTTCTATCAATAATTATCTTACTAAATATTGGACGATATTTATACAAGTAATTTAGTCAAACATACTTAAATAATTATCAGAAGGGGTTTTGTGGAGATTAAGTGGATTGGTTGGAGTTAGACATAAACACCAACGGATGACGGCTCAGTGGTCTATCGGTTAAGTGCTCTAGCGTAAGACTGGTAGGTCCTGGGTTCGATTCCCGCGAAGCGAGATCGTGAATGCGCACTGCTGAGGAGTCCCACAATAGGTCGAAACGGCCGTCAAGCAGTGCTTCCAGGTTTTCCCTGTTGGTCTAGCTTCAATTGACCCACGCTATCAACTACGTAAATATTTAAATAAGGCATTTGAAATAAGTAGAAGAAATGAAATCAAATAATTCATATAAAATAAATTTAGCTTACCTATTTATCCCATCTAAATTTAATACTCCAATTTCACCAAAAAAATCACCTGGACCCATTGTAGAAAGAACTTCATTTTCTTCACTATTGAAAAAAAAAAACAACGAACAAACAGACGTAATAAATAAAAAAGGGGAGACAGTTTTTTTTTCTTTAAAAGTAGATTTTATTGACAATAAAATGTAACAAATACGTTTTATTGTTCGAAAATTAAAAAAATTTCTAAACAGTTTTGTAAAACAAAACGTTGAATATTCTCAGTATGGGGATTTGTAATAGATCTTAAATGTTTATCTGAATTGAAAATAAGAATATTAAGATGAACTTAATAAGAAGAAAAAAGAAATTTTTTCCGACTAAAATTGACAAGTCCTATTTTTTCAGTTGCTCCAACTGTATTTACCAATTAACATGTACGTCCTAAAGTACATACATTGGAAGAACCGAGAGAAGAATACTTGTTCGCATTTATGAGCATGTTTTGAAGAAACTGAGGCTGAGAAGAACCATGGCTCTCATCAGTGCGATAGCTCGATATTTATTTGACACCGGGTACACCATTGATATTTCTTATGCTTTTAAAATTATTAGCTGACAAAGAAGTACGGCTGCTCTCCGGGTTGCTTAAACCGGATCTAGGTATTCAAGAAGAGACAGTGATAAACTTATTACTACCCTGGTTAAACAATTTTTTTTTGTTTTGGTGTTTTTGGTTACTAGTTTTATTTTGGTTAAAATTTAGTTTGTATTATATTCCTCTTCCATTACCCAATTCTTAAATCACCCTTTCACTCACACATTTCCGCTCACTTGTTCCTCTTAAATTATATAAGCTCTCCAAATCCTATTCAATTATTACGTAACCTATCCTATTTCTTTCTAATTCCATCAATCCTTTATTGCCTCTAAAATTATCACACATTTTATCTTATCTGTCTCTGGACTCCATTCAACCATTACACCACCCACCCTTTATGTTTCCTTGACCTTTCCTTGCATATATATAGTTATCATTGATAACCTTTTATCATTCCAATCCTTTACATTCACTTATGTCAATTGTTCCACACTATTTATTACCCCCAATGCTGAAATTCTAATACATATTTGGTTGTAAGCAGCTGATGAGAATCCACGAAACATAATGAATTCATATTATTCTGCATCAATATTTGTTCTGGCTTCATTTAAAATGATGTAATATTGTGAGCACTCACAATTGATTGATCACTGGGTAGTGATCAATGTCATGTGTATCAAGTCCTTCTTAGTGCTGATCTAATGCTATCGATCAAGTTGCAATGTGGCCACTAGTCTAGGTGGCTCGACATTGCGTGCACTATGTTGAGATAAGATGGTGGTTGGAGGTGGTCAACAGGAAACCCTGAAGCCGCGTTTCATGCTGCTTGGCACTCGTCAGCAAAGTGTAACTGTAATCTTGAAGGAACTGGTGCTTCCTGACGGATTCGATCCCGTGTCACCCAGCTTCACAGTCAGAGACGTTACCACCGAGCCATTCGGGTCGCGACCGATCTACTGTAGGGCTGAGATGTAATCACAATTGATTAATCACTGGATGATGATCAATGTCATGTTTGAGGGCTTTCTGGAACTGGTGAAAAGGTGTCAAAAATTTAATTCATAATTAAGGTCATTTATACTAAACGGTAAATCTTAAAAAACTGTAACACATAAGTAGTTTTGAGCGTAAAGACGAAAAAGATTAAATAGATGGTAAAATCTAAAACAGCTTTGATTAGTTATTACCATCCATTTCGAATTTCTTCAGAATATGCACTAATTACAAAACAAAACGTTCAATTCATAATCGTCAGACTTTAGAAATAATGCGATTTGATGTTTAGGTGATGATCTACTGGCCCATTTTTCCCGCTTGTGTCAATTTGTAATAACTAACGAATGTGATCTACTTCATGTAAGGCTACGGACTCAAATTATTTTAAAAAAGGAACTAAACTACTACAAAACAGTTGTACAATTTACTATGATCATCATTAATGCGCAAATGATCATTCATTTGGGATGTAAATTACCATCTCTACAAGACAATCTTATTAGGGTAGGTATCATTACGAAGTTTTGATTTGATAATTTTGAAAAATATTGAGCATTGGATAGGTTGTTATAAATAAATTAATATATTTGTAATATCCCAATTAATAGAAAAATTAGATTTGCTGACGTTCAGTAACTCAGTGTAAGCCACTTCTTCAGAGAACAAATAACCAACTTAATATTAATCCAAGTTTAAATAGTACAACGGAACAACACGAATATAAGGTGATCAATCGTATTAGAGATAAATTACAGGTTTATTTTAAGTTTGCGATGTTTTCAAGTTATCTAACTTAAGATTTATTATCGCTTCAATATGATAAAGCAAATACTTCAGTCGTGGAACTGTTTATTCATGGAATAGTCTATTTCATTTGTACTGTCTAACGATCATCATTCATGGAATGAGTTTATTTATAAGCAATTATAGAAATAAAGGTTTCATATTTAGTTTTTGAAACTGAAGATCTTGTCAAGTATAGTTAAAAAAACATGATAATACCATATATGTATTTCAATTATGACTGACGTTCTCTATCACGATGTGATACAATTAGAATTGCCATGTTATTTTTAAATCTGTATTATATTATACCTTTCATTCTGATGTTCAATCAGTTTTGTCCACTTTTTTTAATAAAGGGCGACTTTCGTTTCATTTGGCTTTTGATCATGTTAGACACACAGCCCTCAGTAAAAGGTTCCAGACCTTTCATGATCTACTCAATGGAAAGGGAACCACTGGGAAGGAATAAAATAGGCAATCATTTCAACATTTCAGGAGGTTCTGGGCCACAAGAAGCCCCATCGCAAAGACTGGATCACTGTTGGTACACTGGATAATATTGAAGAAAGGAGGAACAAGACAGCAGTGATGGATACCAGACGAACAAGAGCAGAAAAAACCAAGGTACAAGCCAAATCAATTGTCAACCAACACCAAAGTCAGAATTTTCAATACAAATGTCAAGACAGTTCTACTGTATGAGGCAAAGACTTGGACAACTACGAAAGCCATAATTCAGAAGATACAGGTGTTTATTATTAGTTTTCTAGCAAGATACTTCGGATCCGTTGACCAGACACTATCAGCAACAAATTACTGTAGCGGACAACAAACCAGATTCCAGTTGAGGAAGAAATCAGAAGAAGCTCTGGAAGTGGATAGGACACACATTGAGGAAATCACCCAACTGCGTCACAAGACAAGTTCTCACATATGATCTTGAAGGCCAAAGGAGAAGAGGAAAACCAAAGAACATATTACGCCGACGAATGGAGACAGACATGAGAAGAATGAACAACAATTGGATAGAACTAGAAAAGAAGGCTCAGGACAGAGTGGGTTGGAGAATTCTGGTTGGCATTCAATGCTTCATAGGAAGTAACAGGCGTAAGTAAGCAAGTAAGTAAGCATGCTAGACACATTGTGAATTTTCAATTTAATGTTGATATTTACTATTATACGTAAAAATAAATAAATAATTTTTTTTAATTATTGTTCCAGTTTGATTATTTTGGATATTTAATATAAACAACTGTGCAGTTTTTGAATGTTATTAATGATGACATTAATCAATAATATTAAAGAATTTTGTAAGTAATTATCACCTTAATACATTAGTAGTACCTTAGTTTTATGGTAAATAAGGAGTCAGTCAAAAATGAACTATAATTTTCGTTTCACCCTGGTTATTACTCATCATTGAAGTATAGTCATCATATTTATGATGCGGTTGTTTTTTCAGGTGTATAAATCTAAGTCAGCTAGTACCGTAAGACGTCATTAGCTTGTTCTATGACTGTGATGTATAACACTGAATAGAAACCAATAGCAATCTAACGTCTCAACGTAATGCGTGCAATATCAACTTACTCAAACCAGTGGTTATTATTTAACTTAATTATCAAAATGAAAAGACGTTGGAAGTGGATAGGACATACATTGAGGAAATCATAAAACTGTATCACGATGCAAGCGTTAGTTTTTAATCCTGAAGGGAACAAAGGATATGGAAAACGGAAGAACCGATTGCACAGATAACTGAACGTGGACATGAGAAGGATAAATAACAACTGGAGAGAAGTGGGAAGGGTTGTCCAGGACAGAGTTGGATGGAGAATGCTGGTAGTTAGCCCATGCTACACCACAAGGGGTGTCAGGCGTAAGTAAGTAATTGTGATCAAAAGAAATCAATGAATCTTATAATTTTACTTAAAGTATAAGTTAAATTTAAAATTTTGAGATCAACATTTGCGTATCTCATATTAAAACAGTTATGTGCCGTTCACAAAACAGGAATAAAGATGGTTCGTTTGAGTGCTACAATGCAGAGGCGACTGTTTTCAATGTATGACGCTATGCAGTTATACTATAGTGAACGAGGACACAAGTGGGGACAAGCGAATGTATTTGAATACAAAATCAAGGAACATCTTAGTAAAATCTGAGAACCATCAAGTAAATACTTCGTTTGCGAAATGTCAATCAATTACTCAAACGTGACTGTTCGTTTCACAAATATCAAGCGATCGATTCAGACTCCATTGTTCCTTCGTTTCCATACATACTACTCATATCTATCGATATCAGTAGCACATACTACAACACTAAACTTATTCACATTAAACTATAGGGTTAATTATGATGATCTAAGAAGGCAATAGGCAGGAGGAAGGTATATTTAATGAAAGAGGTTACAAACTATTTACATAACACACATACAAAGCCTTCAATCGTCCATTTGCATTTTTCGGTGTATTGTACAATCAGAACTGTCTTCTCGACTGGCCTGAAAATATTTTTTCAACGTCGTGCTTTCAGTACACTGATACTCTTGACTCTGTTCAACAACTGTTACAACTTTGACGCCACTTTCCTGTACCCACTACTTAAAAACAACCTTATAAGTAGCATCCACTACAATGACAATCTTTCCCCAAAACTGATAAAATTATCCAAATTACATTAACACCGTTGGATGCCGACTAGCTCAGTAGTCTATCGGTTAAGTGCTCTGGCTCGAGACTGGTAGGTCCCGGGTTCCAGTCTCTCGAGTGCGGGATCGTGGATGCGCACTACTGAGGAGTCCCATAATAGGACGAAACGGCTGTCCAGTACTTCCACGTTTTCCATAGTGGTCTAGCTTCAATTGACTCATGATTTCAACTATGAAAAATACTAACATCTTCAAAAAACCCTTTCTGAATTCTTAATATTGTAATCTGACTAGAAGGTTCTGAATATTTATTTTAGCTAATTTTTCACTCTCCATCATCATCATCATCATTCTATCTTCTTTCTTATTGATGAATGACTTATATTCTTATTTTGAATACATATTACTTTAATAATATAGATTCAATGATCAGTTAATTAAAAACATGAATTTTGACCCAATTAAAAATTTTCTTCATCAGTTCCGTGGAAATAAAGATGAATAAATCATTGTAAATTTATTCAAATGACCGATAATTTATGTTTCTATCAATTACCCATTTTTTTAGTTTTTCATTCTTTTAGTGATATCAAAAGGGAATCTAATAATCAAAACAATCATTATCTGACCTAAAGATTGAATACAATAGTGAATTTTATGAAAATTAACATTCCTACATTATAGCGTTTAACTGAATATTTATGAAAAGGGGTTGTGAATGTTGAAAAACATGAAACCGTTGAATTTGAACACAATGGTAATATAATTACATTTTATGAGATTGTGTATTTACTGATGGATAATGGTTATGTTTAAATGGGATCAACTTTTATTAACGCCTTGATATATATATATATATATATATATATATATATATATATATATATATACCTGTGTCTCTTATCTCTCATGGAGGATTATGGGACAACCACCAGCATCCCTAATCCGACTCTGACCTGTGCAACCCTTTCCAGTTGTTTCCAGTTGCTATTCATCCTATTCATGTCTGCTTCCAATTCTGGACGCAGTGTGTTCTTTGACCTTACTCTTTTCTGTATATATATATATATAACAATTCTACATAAGATCACGATATAACTTAGACTAAACAGTGAAATCACGTGCATTGTTGAATTTAAAACACTCTATAATATTCAGTATTATTCCTTTTGATTGAATGACAGTTTGCGTACGATATAAAAAAGTCAATGATATTTGGTTTCAGCAAGAATAAATACGGAGAAGTTAAGGTTATTCATCCAGGAAATTGAATCGAACAATAATGGTAATTTATCGAAATGGCTTTGGTTTACATATTTATTTATTTATGTAAACACATAAATATTGGTACAAGGTAGCACCACACATATATGCGCCATACAAATCTCATTTGATTTGTGTGAGGGCTGTGATACTGCTCAGATGTCCAAACCGAAGCAGGTGGTTTTCTTAGGGGGTCACACCCGGAGCCTTCACTCAGGATACTGGAGCCCATGTGCACCATTGGTTTGAAATCAGGGCTTTCCAACTCCCTTAGGCGAATTCTCCATATCCATTTACCCGTTTAAAGCATCAGACATTCACTTTTTTTTCCTCTCAATTTCGTAATAAACAGTAATGCCACGAGAAGACAGTGAGTTGGACGTCCCTGTCAGAGGCTATATAAGCATAGCCATGTGAAAGCATTTCGAGAGGAAGAGCACACTCTCTCCACTCTCGGCATTTGGTACGTGCATAAACATCTTGACAACATCTTGACACTGGGTACCCAATTACTTCACAAACGTTATCTTAAATGTTTTAAATTACCAGAAGTAAGTAATGGATTTCAACTAGGTTTATGCAAATGGAATAAATTAGATTAAAAAATCATATTCTTATAAACAAACTTTTATTCTTGTATAAAATCTCTTTAAATATATACTTAACAAGACTATTCCATTAATTAAATCATATTCTTTTTATAAAAAAAAGCCTTGTGATTATAAATAAAAACTCACAACTATATATAACAAGTCTGTAGGGATTTTTTGGTTACCGTTTTTTTGACGAGAATCGGCAAAGCAAGAGCAGTATATTTACAACTGAGGAACATCTGGAACTCAAAACAATTGTCAACCAACACCAAAGTCAGAATTTTCAATACAAATGTCAAGACAGTTCTACTGTATGAGGCAAAGACTTGGACAACTACGAAAGCCATAATTCAGAAGATACAGGTGTTTATTATTAGTTTTCTAGCAAGATACTTCGGATCCGTTGACCAGACACTATCAGCAACAAATTACTGTAGCGGACAACAAACCAGATTCCAGTTGAGGAAGAAATCAGAAGAAGCTCTGGAAGTGGATAAGACACACATTGAGGAAATCACCCAACTGCGTCACAAGACAAGTTCTCACATATGATCTTGAAGGCCAAAGGAGAAGAGGAAAACCAAAGAACACATTACGTCGAGAAATAGGGACAGACATGAAAAGAATGAACAAAACTGGATAGAACTAGAAAAGAAGGCTCAGGACAGAGTGGGTTGGAGAATTCTGGTTGGCATTCAATGCTTCATAGGAAGTAACAGGCGTAAGTAGATAAGTAATTAAGGGATCTTTTGAAACGTTCAATGATATTTCATGAATCTAAATATCAACATAAACTATCAATTTCTCATCTAAACATTCAACAAAACATAAACCAATTCGATTATAGCCATTAATTTACACGTACATACTAGGCAACAAAAATAAATAGCAAAACAAATAAAAATTAGGAACAAAATAGTTGAATGAAATAAAATTACTTTTTTTTACCTGAGTACTTCAAGTACACCATCGGCAATAATAAATATTTCACGTGCTATTTCACCTTTACGACAAATTAAATCACCAGGGGTTAAAACTAATGGACGCATTTTTAAAACAATATCATGTAAAAATTCTGGTCTACATTCATGAAATATTGTCACCTTGTAAGAGAATATATATTGAAAAAAATACCAAAAAAAATGTAATTAAACATGTATTCGTGAAGAGAAAAATAATTTCATAATACTTATAAATTCAAAGATGTACATGAGTCTATCTAAGCTAGACCACCATCGAAAACCTGGAAGCACTAGATGGCCGTTTCGTTCTAGTATGGGACTCATCAGCAGTGCGCATTTACTATCTTGCATGCAGGACTCTAACCAAGGACTTTCGGTCTCGTACATCAACACTTAACCTCTAGACTTCTGAACTGACATCTAACGGTGTTATTGTCTGCCTTTAATCGACCAATGATCTTACTAAAACCTTTATTCATTGTTTAAAGCCGATAACTGTCCCCATCCCAGACAGATTGAACTCCACTAGTAACGGCTTCTCAATAGAACTTAAGGAAATTCATCTTGAAACGAAACGGTTATCCAGTGAAAATTTAAAACATGAACTTCAGTATTTTATTGGATCAACTATAGACATTTTTCAATCTCAATAACTTGATGATTTAGTGGTATCAGTACTTAGTAACTACGCAAACAGGATTGAATCTCTAATTAAAAGCAGGCTAAGGAGGTGGCATCATAATATAGTACTGGGTTTTTATTAGCTTCATGAATGATATCTCAACATCATGAGAATATAAATATATATATAATTATTGTATTCCATAATTAAGTAATGACAATGAAAAAGTGAAATACCATTAACAACGTAAAATCAATTACCTTTTTCAATGTTTCCAAATTTACATTAAGTGCAAGTTCTGTTTTTAATTTATCCGGTAACATTCCCAATGAATTAATATCTTGACCACCACGTCCACTTCCTCTGATAAATGAAAAGTTATAACATGGATACACTGTGTTTTATAATGTCTATTAAAAAAGAAACTATATCCATATTAAATAGTCATGCAACCGTTAACAATAACAGCACTTTATGAACTCATCACAATTACACATAGTTGAGAGTATATCTCCGTCGGCATGTTCAGTTTCGTTCTATGATTATTTTGTAACACACGAAAAGCGAACGCCCGGTGCTTTAACCGGGTTGATGGACACAGAAAGTCCACCTAGGGGAGTTGGAAAACCCTGATTCCAAACCAATGGTGCACAAGGGCTCCAGTATCTTGAGGAAACAAATGGCGCATGAATTAATCGTTGGTCACCAGCTACCATGGGACTGCATCTCCTCACCATGCTCCACTGCCTTGTGGATCAGATATTCAGGTCAAAGGCTCGAGTTGTGGCTCCCTAAGAAAACCACCTGCTTCGGTTTGGGCACCTGAGCAGTATCACAGCCCTCACACAAATCAAATGAGATTTGTGCGGTGCATATATATCTGGTGCTCCTTTGTACCAATATTTATATGTTTAAATAAATAAATTGTAACACAAGAATTTCTTAAACCTATCTGATGAATAACTTGAAGACTGATTTTCATACTGTCCAGTTTATTCTTAGGTAATTTAAAATCATAATATTATGATAATATCTTTAAACCTCTATATTATATATGACCAAATTTGAGTTGTTCAGTCTATCAATTACTGTCGCCGACATTCACACCTAAATTTGACTAAAGCTTGTACAAATGTTATTTTCTATTTTATGGTACGATATGGTCTGTCTGGTTGGTATATAAACCCAGTATGTTTGAAATAATTGGTTGATAATGCAGAAGTGTTCTGGACTTAACTGACTGAGCTAGGCAGAAAGCAGGACCGATAGGTACTCTAATCAGCTAGTACAGGTTTTATGTGTCATTGGTCCTATCGATAGTTCACTGCTCTCTAATTAGTGGAACCATCACGTCATATATTAATCGAGCCAAAAGCCCACAAGATATAACAAAAATAAGTAAGAATATTACAATAAACATGGAGTTTTTGACGTGAATAGTAAATTTCTTATGCTGGGATTCGGTTCACTTGTTGTTAATTAAATAAAACTCAAGTAAAGAAACCTATTCATATGGTCAAACAGTATTTACGCTTGATAGCCTATTTAAAGCCCTAAATAGTTTTTTAATATTTTCTCTACACTGTTAAAGTGGATTATATGTGAAGTATTGACTCATAACTAGTCAATCATAATGTAGTTTACACAGATCAATAGCGTCTAACACAGACAACTAAATATCTTCAGAAATATAAATTTCTGCTTCAGATAAGTCGACATATACGGAGGAATGTGATAAACATTAAAGATATCCTTGATTATGCACTAATTCACATGTAGTACGCTCATGTTGTTGATTACATATCATATAAAATCTATATTTGAAGTAGAAAGCTTTCGTTGTAATCTGACTTTTACACCAAGTCATACTCTGTGTGATTGTACAACAGACATATGTTTATTAATAATAAAGAGTACTTATCATACATTTGATTTGTTTTGGCCTGTAGTATGCTTTATCCCAACTCATAAACCTCAACCTATGAACCGTAAGTTTGGATCTTATCCTTGTTTACTTTACTATCATTATCCTTATGTATATAAGTATCAGTCAGAAGACTAGAACTAGATCAACTTACTTTGATCAGACTACAGATTAAAAAAATTTTTAAAATTTCAACAAACTTACTTTGACCAAGCATAATCATACCAGCGAAGAATTCGATTCTGCAGATCCTTATTCACTGAATTTTCACGCATATAACTTTTGGCATTATCCTATATTCAGAATAGGAATAACATTAGGTGAAATTTTAAAATAAGACTAAGGTAATTAATATCAAATCACACCCCTATAAATAATTTAACTGTTTGATACTCGTTTGACTGAGCGCAAATTTTTTTTATGTACAAGGAGATAATGGTTATTGTTGAAAGGTAAAAGTTGAACAATTGGGGTTACTGAGGGACGACTTATTTATTGGATTGTAGCCTATCTATCAAAGAGAGGGTGTGTCTGTCAGTATTGTTTTCTAATCTTAATTAATTTAGGTTTCGTCAGTGTTCTACAAAGGCGTTGTATATAAGAAACACTATGGAGATTGAATCATACAAAGACTGAAATGTTTTGGATACAAAGTACGTCTATTATAATTAGATATTTTATGAAAAGTATTTTGGTTGATAACTTCAAGGTTTGATCACTCTAATTATATTAAATAAAGCACGATTTAATATCTCATTGTATTTGTATTTAGTAACATCATAAGAATGAAAATAGCCCATAAAAAGAGAACATGATGTAACGTTTTGAGTATAAAATAATAGTTGAAATCATGAGTCATTTGAAGCTAGACCACCATGACTAACCTGGAAGCACTAGAGTGCCATTTCGTTCTATTGTGGTACTCAGCACTGCAAATTCACGATCCGGCTTCTCGAGTTTCGAACCCAGGACCTATCAGTTTCACGCGCGAGCACTTAACCTCTAGATCACTGAGTCAGTAGGCATCCAACGCTGTTAAAGTCTAGCTTTAAACAATCCACAAATTTGAGCAACCGTCTACCATTGTCTTCAGAGAGTTAATATCTCACAACAGACCCGGATGAACTCCACTGGTCACTGCGCGAGACTGATAGATGTTGTGTCCGTATCTCACAAGACAGGATTGTGGATGCCCACTGCTGAGGAGTCCCACAATAGGACGAAACGGCCGTCCAGTGCTTCTGAGTTTTCCATGGTGGTCTAGCTTCAATTGACTCATGATTTCAACTATAAAATTACTAAAATCTCCACCAAACCGCTTCTGAAAATAATGATACATTAATATTGATATAATCGTACAAATTAATTTCTTTAAATGCTTTATATAAATAATAATCAGAGAGTGAAATTGGATAGTTAAGCGCTTCTATGCTATTTTAATGAACGAGAACACAAGTGGGAACAATCGAATGTATTTGAATACAAAATTACAGAATATCTTATAAAATCTAAGAACCATACTTCATTTGCAAAAGGTCAATCAATTATTTCAGACTTCACTGTCTCTTCATTTTCACATCAATAATTTACCGTTCTCGTTCTCTTTTCTTTGATCTTCTTAACCTTCTACCTCCAGGTATTTCACTTTCGATTGATGATACATACTATTTATATTTATTGACATCAGTAACACACACCACACTATGAACACGAACACCTTGACTTAAGTTCTAAAATTTTCGGGCTTTATTGCCAACCTTGACGAAAGCTGTTTTTTTACTAGATTCAGAAGTGTCTAACTTAGTATCACAATAAGTAATGTTACCAGTAAACTATTCAGGTTTTGACTAATAACGAATTAAAAGAGCAATTTTTTTATTCAACTACACCATAATCAACTAAATAAAATGTTTATATTTTTAAATGTGCTTTAAGAAGTATTGGTAGGTTCTTTCCTAAGTTTTTAGATTAAAAATGTTTCTATTATAATAAATCATAACAACAGTCTAAGTTTATATTTACTTAGTATTGTTTGTTTGGATCTTCCCATTGATGTTTTAGGACTGAAACTGGTCAGTCTCTAACTGGCATATGTGAATACTTTGAGTATTGCCTCGATATAGTCTAAATTCAGAAGCATGATAAGCAAAGATGGATAGTAGCTAGCAGTGGAATCCAGGACGCGCGTTTCGTCCTATGCTTACCAGTTTAAGTTTATTATTATTATCATTATTATTGGCTTTATTCAATACAGAATTATCAGCTTAAAGTATTTCATCAAGTTTCCATTTGTTACTTCTTGATCGACCCTTGCAATAAATATTGAGTGGTCACCAGTTATATGTTAGCAGTTCAGGAATCGATATGTGAATAATATATATACATTTCGATGCATATTGCCAGTAATCACAATGTCTCTGATTAGGCTTTTTGTGTAACTTGTATTGCGAAATGTCGAAAGCTTTTCACAAATGCATTTGAATAGGTTATGAAACGAATAATCATAATGATGTGTTAAAACAAACAAGAAAACAGATAAATTATTGAAATATCCAGATGGCGGAAACAGGTAGCTCGGATATTCAAACAGGTCGACTTAATGATCATTACACATAGAATTTCTATTTTTAATGCTCATATAAATGTTATAATTATTTTCCATTCATGTATATTGTATAAAATATCAATAACAATACAAAGAGCATGGGAATTTCTAATATTTTATAGATTCTCATCATTCACTTACAAATGTAAACAGAGTGTATTGATTCCATGAAAGGATTATATAATGTCCTATACTTAAACTTAATTGAAATAATTACTATCATTGTAAGCAGAGATGGATAGTGGCTAGCAGTGGAATACACGACGCGCGTTTCGTCCTATTTAGGACTCGTCAGTTGGATGTACCTGATTCTCAGAGTTGATGTTCACTCTGGGACTCGATTCCTGGATTCCTGGATTCCACTGCTAGCCACTATCCATCTCTGCTTACCATGCTTGTGAATTAAGGTATATCGAGGCAATACACACAGTACGCACATATGCCAATTAGATATTGACCAGTTGCATTCCTAACACATCGATGGGAAGATTCAAACAAACAATACTAAGTGAATTACTATCATTGTTATCAATATAGTCAAAATCCAGGGAGCATATTTCACAAACCGTTAAAAAGGAGTGTAAAAAAAGGTGAGAGCGAATAGTTCCATAGTATTTGGGTGCCGAGTTGATGTAAAATATTAAATAGGAATAATATACTGGATGACCTATTCAGTATACAATGAACCGGAGAACCATATACTACCTATCTATATTTGATAATTTTGATGTTTGATTATAATTCCTTGAAAAAGCTTGGACCAGATTGCTAAGCGAAACATTGGATTTACTTCAAATTCACTTCGCTGAGATTTTACAAATATACATTATTCCTATTTAATGTCTATAACGAAAAAATAAATGAAATCGATTGAATTAATATGATCATAGAAAATTGGTCAGGAACATATTGTGATCTTACAAGTTAGATTTCATTTTTGATAATATCAGCTTCAAGAAAGTGTATTAAAATTATGCTTCCTCATTTACTGATCACTACTAGAGAAGATTATGAGACGTTAATCATTAAATATTCAAGTCTGTATTATTAAATAGTTTATGTTATATTATTTGACCTGCCAAGATGTCCTTTTAATGTATAACGTGATAACACTCGCAAATTGGAGAGCAGTGATTTTATCGATCAGATCAATTACACATAAAACCCGTACGAGCAGTCTAGAGCACTTGTCGTTCCTGCTATCCGCCTAGCCCAGCCAGTTAAGTTCAGAACACCAATAATAGCCTCTGCAATATGAATCATTATTCTCAAACATATTGGGTTTATATATCAAACAAACTGACCACATCGTACCATAAAATAGAAAATAACATTTGTACAAGATTTGGCCAAATATGGCTGTGAATAGGGGGAACAGTAATTAATAGCCTGCGGATAACTCAAGAATGGTTAATCGTATAGTATTAGTTCATAGGTCAAAATGGAGCTTATAATAAGAGGAACATGAATATGAATCGTTTTAGTTACTTAACAATTATACAATAAGAAATATACGTATCGTATTGGTCCATAAATAGTCCTTAAAAGTTGCCATTCATCATTCTCCTCGGGATATAACAGTTTGAAACGTCTTTTTATAATATATTATTTTATTAGATCAACATAAAGCCATATAGTTACATTAACAAATAATAAGATTAATAATCTTATAGATCTCTCATTGTTCTAAAGAACAATTGACATATATTTGTATTGGTAAGGTAATTTTCACCTTCTTTAATTTAAAATTAAATTTTTTTTTAAATCATAATTAAAGTCATCTCCTTTAATCTTAATTAATCTCCTCCCAATTTTGATTAAAAAAAATTTTTTTTTCATTATAAGATTTTATTATCATCCGTTCAGTGCACCCAGGTTTTCCATGGAGGGGGGGGTGTGGCCTAGCTTCAATGGATTCATGATTTCAACTATGAAAATATTTTATTATGATTAAATAAATTAATACCACAACAACACGAAGAAGAAGAAGAAGAAAACAAACAACCAAGAGTAATGAATCAATCTATTTTATTGACCTACATTCTAAGCTCTTATTTCTTTCTGATAAACAAAGGTATAGGGTATGAGATGTAGTTATAGTATAGTGAACGACAACACAAATGAGAACAGTCGAATATATTTGAATACAAAATTACAGAATGTCTTATTGAAACTTAATAACCAGATAGTGAATATTTCATTTGGAAAATTGTCTCAAATTTCTTTTTTTTTCCTACATTTCCATACCAATTGCTTTTTATGTTTCTGTTCTTTCTTCTTCGATTTTGTCGACCTTCTGTTATCAGATATTCTATTCCTTACTAGTGTTATATACTACTTATGTTGACATACGTAGCATACAGTGTAGTGAGTAAAAACACTAGTTGATGACAATCGAATGTATTTAAACATAAATTACAGACTATCTTACTAAATTTTGTTAACCATACAGCAAACAGTCAATTTGTAAATCTTCACTGTTCCTTCTGTAAATATCAGTTCATCTTCTCTAATTTCATCGTTCATGTATTTTTCTACCAATTGCGCTTTATTTAAGTTCTTTCTTTATAAGTCCTCTGCCAAAATACATTCTATACCTGACTATTGCCATATGCTACTTATATGGATATAAGTAGACCACACCACAACACCACAATCATGTTTCAAAATAATTTGAAATTTTTTTTA